TTATACGCAGAATTACGTTGCAAATCGGCGGTAGCTGTTATCCTTGCTTGATACGGTGAAAACAGCATCTGATCGCGTGGTCGAGTTCATGGGACGATGGTTGTTGTGTGTCGGGCGGTGTGGTCGTTTTCTTGAATTGCAGAATCCTTCCTTATGTCCTGTCCTGCGACAGACTGAGCATTTGTGGTGTCGATAGGAGCAATATCGGACGAAATGCATTGCTCCGCAATACCAACATGGGCTTGGAGGAAGTTTATGTGAAGGTTTTTTTCCTGTCCTGTTGTTATCTGCTTGAAGAAATTTGCGGGATTGGTGTAGCTGTTGTTGACGTCCTGGAGTCAAGTGTTCAACTGCATGAACTTTAGGTGTACCGGTTTCCACCATCTGAGTGTCCTGTTTCAGATTGATGATTCGTTTACATTCTTCTGTTAACGACTGGACCGTGCAATTTGGGTCGGATTCGATCTTGTCAAGCAGTTTGAGGCGTATAAAAGCATCCTCACTAGATTGTAAACCACTCACGAAAATAAGGCACTTGAACTGGTTTTCATCGCACTGAGATAACTTAAACTTTTCACACTCACGGTTGACTTGTCCTGCGTAGGTGATGTAGTCGTCGTCTGGGTTCTTGGTGAGTTTCATACAGGCATAACGTCGACTGAATAACGATTGCTGTGGTCCAAACAGGTTCATGAGTGTGGAGACGGCTTCCTCGAATGTGATATCTCGTTGCGTTTTTGGTAGAATGTAGTTGGAATACTTGCCATAAGCTGCGGCGTCCAGCTTGTGAAGAAGGAGGCGAACTCGAGTTGAATCGTCGAGCATTTGGGCGTCCACTGTAAAGATGTCTTGATGTCTTCGATACCATGCTTCGAAGGTTAGATCAGCGTCGGGATCATACGTGAACTCCGTGATGCGCCCTGCTAACACGTCGAAGACTTTGGTTGGTTCTCCTGCTTGTGAGGTTGACTGCGATGACTGCTGTTGAACGATTCCTTTCAATGCGTCCGTGAGTGCCATCAGCATCTGCTGGAACTGCTGGTCCGTCGTCGTCATAGTCCTGATCGCCACTGTTATGTCGGTAGCCGTACAGAAGATGCAGCTTTATTCGGAGTTCATAAACTAAACCATACTGAAGTCAGAGGCTTATATAGGGGAGATGTTTTCGAGAGAACTCGAAAACAAGTGATACAAAAGAGATCATTTATTGTTCATCCATAACATCTCCTAGAAGCTGCGAGCGTATTTTGGGTATTCATGTGAGAACTCAGTTTGCTGTTGTATCCTCGTCTGTTAAGAGCGCTTAATACCAATGGTCTGCTAGGTTGAGGCCGATGTCAGACTTTGCAAATCGAGCGATTCGCTTGTGTCCGCGGTCGCTTTGTGGTACCAGCCAACCCTCCCGGCCCCCCCACCCGCCACTTCGCCTCCTGCGCCCGCGCGTGCCTCTCCGGGCTAACCCCCCCGAACCCCGCCCGTCTTCCGCCACTCCTTGAAATCGCTTACATCCCCGCACCGCCCCCGCCCTTCTACGGTTCTGAAGTTCGATTTTACTTTTGCATAAAGGATGGGTGACGTGCGATGTGAACGGAAGCTGAGTGAAAGCCACCGCTTCTTGGAGATAAAAGTGAAAAAGTTGATTGATTTGCTTCATGGAAGAGCGCTGAAATCGTCTTTTCATTTCACCTTGTTTGACTCCTCTTCCTTTCTTACGCCTCTTTTGTTTTTCCGCAAACACCTTTGCGACTTGTAAAGTTCGGGTCATATCCTTTTTCTAGTAGCCTGTGATAACAATAAGAGCGATGGGTGCGGGTTTGTAGAAGAGAAGTGTGTTTTTTATTGGAGAAATTGAGGTAAAGTGGGAGAATGAAGCCAAGTTTGGCTGTAGCTTTTGTGGTGATTTCGTTGGTTTAGTCAAGAAGATTATCCCTATGTGGTCGATATAGATGGAGTAGCTAAAGCTTCTATTATTAAGCTCAAATTAGTTTCCGGAAAGTCAGTACCTAGGCCATTGTCAGTAATTGTAAGTCGGGTAATCTGGAGACTGATTTTCTTATTATAGATTTCTGGCGGACCGCTTTGTGACCGGCATTTGCCCATTTTGTGCGTATGACGACGCACGCGGCGATCAGTGTGACAGTTGTGGTCGTCTTATCAACGCTGTTGAGCTGAAAAGCCCTAAATGCCACATCTGTAAACAAGAGCCGAAGGTGAGTGCTCGGGGGAAATAATGACATGGATATTACCTTTGATTCATTGCCTCTTAGGTGCGGCAGTCCACGCACATATTTCTGCATCTGGATGCGCTACAGGTTTGTGTTTCCTCTTCACTAGCTTTGCTCCCACGACTTTTTTGAGTAATCCTTATTTTTTAAGGACGACGTTCGGCAGTATGTGGAAAAGGAAATTGCAAAGCCAAATACGCGATGGTCTTCGAACGCCATAGCCATTGTGAAAGGATGGATCAAGGTGTGTACACATCAAAGTTTCTGTTTATGATCTCTGGGTTGTTTTGGAGCGAACTGAACAATTTTTTCGCCGGCTTGCCTATTTGGACGTATGTCCCGCCCACTGTGGGCGGATTTTCTCATGCCCCATGTCTTCCCCATATAGACTGGCTCATGCCCTACCTACGCTCCATTTTCCTGCTTCTTCCTTTTCCTGCGGTGAAAGAATGCTGCGCCACGGTACATGCACAGATTTTCAAATATGGGTCTACTTGAAAATCATTGGTGAGCCTTACGTCATCTCTATTCAAGCTTTTTTTTTCAGGGCGGATTGGAGAAAAGGTGTATCACTCGTGATCTAAAATGGGGAACGGCTGTACCACTTGCTGGTTTTGAGAACAAGGTGTGAGAATGTCATAATCAAGATTTCAGTTCTTTTCCACTCTAGCAAATACTAGCGATTCAGGTGTTCTACGTGTGGTACGACGCGCCCATTGGGTATCTTTCAATTACAAAATGTCTTGTAGGCGATAATTGGACAAAGTGGTGGAAGAATCCGGAAGAAGTTGAGCTATTCAACTTTATTGGAAAGGTATGTGCTTCAGCTTTTGGGTTATCTCAAAATCAATTAGAATGGACTTTTTAGGATAATGTTGCTTTTCACGGTGTAATGTTTCCTTGTACCCAACTCGGTGCTCGTGATAACTATACAATTGTCAATCATGTATGTGCAACGGAATATTTGAACTATGAGGATACCAAATTCAGGTTTGCCTTCGCTTGATCATGTTTTGAACTGCTCCAACCGTTTATTTTCGTATCTGGTCCTTGGCTTGGTTAAGGCAGTGCTTTGTTCTCTGGTAATAGCCAATCTTCTGGTGTTTTACTTCATACGTATTGTACTTCAGAGCCAAGATTTCTAAGGCAGTCTTTCGAAAAGTTTTCCGTATTTTAGCAAATCGAGAAATACTGGTGTCTTTGGTGATAATGCACAAGAAACGGGCATTGAAGCTGATGTATGGCGATTTTATTTGCTCTATATGCGGCCTGAGTCTCAGGATACGTCATTCTGCTGGGAGGATTTCGCTCTTAAGGTAATAGAAGTGATGGTCCCAGTTTATAGCACCGTTTTACGGAATATGAGACCGATGTTATAGGTAAATTCGGAGTTGCTCGCCAATTTGGGAAATTTCATTAATCGAGCGCTTTCATTCCTCAGCAACGCCTTTGGAGGTGTGGTTCCAGAAATGTATCTTAACGATACCGACGTGGAGCTTTTAGCAGGAATCCAGGTACGAGAAACCGTCATTAATGTTCACTTTCAAGGAGTTATGTTTATCAAAATTAAGGAGGACTCAGTGGAGTGGGATCAGTTAATGGACGCCGTGCGCCAAAAGGATGCCGTAAGGGCGGTCCTTTCTATGTCGCGTCGTGGCAATCAGTATATGCAATCTCAGCAGCCGTGGGTGCTCATGAAAGGAGATGAAGAAGAGAAGTAAATCTAGAAAATTTTTATAAGTAGGTCTCCATAATTCTATTGATTTGGTTCATCTCCAGAAAACGCGCTGGTACTGTCATCGGAGTTGCGGCTAATATTTCATACCATCTTGCTACAGTTTTACATCCAATTATGCCAGAGGTACGAACGTAATCCCGTTGACAAGTAGCATAGGCGTGCCAATCTTTCCTTCAGGTCTCAGCTCGAATAAGGTCTCAATGTGCTCTGGAACGCTTGCCTGCCTTTTCTGCATACCCGTTATCATATCTCAAACCAGGGCATAAAATTGGGGTGGTAAGTGTTATTGGTTGATTCTACCAATTTATCATTTAGGGTGACCTTTTGCTCCAAAAGCGATCTCCAGTATGTTTTAGCCAAAACCACTGTTCACGAAAATGGAGAGTGCTAAGGTGGCTGAATGGAAAGCGAAGTTTGGTGGCTCAAAGGCCGTTGAGGAGACGCAAAAGAAACGAAAAGGTAAATTATGTAACATTTGTTGTATAGCATCATATTTTATTTGTCCATGCTTCTATTTTTTCCCCGCTTTACCTATCCTACTGTCATTGGTGATTCCAAAAGTACTGAAAATTGAAACTAGTCACTTGCTAACCTTCGTCAACGTAGTCACTTATTCTTGTGTCCTGCCACCCTACAGAAAATATACATGGAAATCGTGGTCAACGGTTTTTCTTGAACACAAAGATCGAGCAATAATAGCCCCGCGGGTCTCCATCTTTTAGCCGAGGTTTTTGCTATTGGAGGGCTAGACTCTTATTTGGCCGAGACGTCGAAATTTAATACCAGTAATAAGAGAAGTAGGACTTGCTTCATCACTGGTAATGAATTTCGACGCTAGTTAGTTAGATGTGAATATGTGAAAATATTTTGACAGCTTCAGAATGCTGTCTTTTAGGTTCGTGGCGTGATGTGGCAAAGCTTTCTGGGATGTAAAACGCGGAGGCTACGATTTTATCACTATTTTCTTTCTTTTACACATTTTGTTGTTTCTTTAGCCCGATGTCATAGTTTGCGAATCACTCGATTCGTAAACTATGACATCGGCCTTATACATTTTAAGCTTTTCAGACTAGCAGTCAGAACGCAGGCTCTTGAACTCTCTTTGGTAGAGAATCACTCCTTTCCGCAGCCCTTGTTGCTCTCCTTCATCTTCATCTTTTTTAGATAATTCTGCTGAATTGTTCACTCTCTGACACAGCATCATGTATTTATATGTACTTCTGTTCGGTTTGACAGATATCGTATATCCGCACCGATACCCTTTCACAGCGCCTCTCATTGTTCCTTTTCCAGATAAGCCTAAGCAAGGTCCGAAAGCTGACGCCGGTGATAAAGATTCGAAAAAATCAGAAAACACAGCAAAATCAAAGATGGCATCGGCCGGAGCTTTCGCATATCCTCATCTAGCCAGGAATCAACAGCAGATCAAGCAACTTCTGGATGCTTCATACAAGAAATTCGCTCAAGCACGTGAGTGTGTTCTGGCAGATCATATCATTACTTACAATTTCAGTGTGATAATATGGGTTCTGTAAAAATCTGTGTTATTAGAAACATTTCCAGGCGACTTGTTTGTAAAGCAAAAAGGAGCTGAGCTGGCAGCTAACATTTCGAAACTTGAAAAGGAAGTGGAAGCAGTCAAACGTCAATTGGTCGAAGCTGAAACAGCGGCAGGAAGTGCGTAGGACTCTGATCATAGGCTTCCTTTCATTGAGTTCAAATTCTGCCATCGCATTCGATTGTTTAAAACAAACCTATGTTTAGTCAAACAAGTTGCGGTGCCACAGATCGCAAAGGCTGTGGAGAAAACTGAGTCTGTCACAGTTGCTCCTGTGACGACTTCAAAAAGCGAAAGTTCTGAAAAGCCGTCCAAAAAGGAAAAATCCGCGGGAGAGAAGAAGCAAGCCGTTGCTAGTGGTAGCAAGAAAAATGAGAGTGAGTATTAAATTCGGCACTGCAGTTGTATTTGCTGTATTCCAAACTAACGATCTACTCTTTAGATTTTAGAAGAGCTGGCCGGAATACCCTTAAGCAATGAGCATTTTTTCAGATGCAGCTGCTGATGATCAGGTTGACGTGGGACGCCTCGACCTTCGAGTTGGTCGTATTTTGCAATGCGAAAAACATCCAGATGCAGACGCGTTATACGTCGAGCAGATTGACGTTGGGGAACCGGCGCCACGGACAGTCGTATCGGGGCTCGTTCGGCATGTCCCGCTTAACGAGGCTAGTTGCTCTGCCCCCAGTTTGTTCTGGTGTCTTTAATCCGCCTGCCAACACTTCCAAATTTTTTGAGAGTCTTGAAAAAACTCCTTTAATGGGTGGTCAGGTTCTCTGTTAGACGATTGTAAGCTTAAGGTTCCCCAAAAAATGTCCTAGGTTTTTCTATTCACCACCGTGTTTAGATGCAAAACCGTCTTGTGGTGGTGTTGTGTAACCTGAAGCCGGCGAAAATGCGTGGAATTGAGTCTCGAGCCATGGTGATGTGCGCGTCATCTCCAGAAAAGGTATTTCTATTTCAAGAAGTGTATTTACTTTTTCTCAGGCTCGTATTAGGTGGTTAAGTGTTGCCATATGGTACGTTCAAACAATAAGCTCTGTACAGGTTGAGATCATGGAAGTGGACCCATCTGCCCAGCCCGGAACTCCTGTGACGTGTCCCACCTTACACACATAGACCCGATGCTCAACTGAATCCTAAGAAGAAGGTAGGAATTCCCACATTTTCAAATCTGAATATCTACTTTTATTCATGATTGTTTCTTTTTTTTACCGTAGTTTCATAGAGCTTCTCCATTCACAATTGTTTTTCACTTTTTGTTAGTTAGTTAATAGCTACTTGAAAATAGCACCAAAATAAAGCGGAAATTGCGAGCTCGGACCCGTTAAGTGTGTAACAGGCGTGAAGTCGCGGTTGTTTGGTTTCAGTAAACAGTATCAAAGCTCAGGCTTTCTGAATGCCCTACGCACAATAATGTCGTCTATAATGTACGTGCTCACCGTCACACTTACCTACCTTTGTGTGGGAAACAATGTGTTTGGAATAACTCGCCAGAATCATTTCGTCATTGTTCAGATTTGGGAGACCGTAGCGGAGGACTTGAAAGTTAGTGCAGACGGATATGCCGTTTGGAAGGATTGCCCACTTTTGGTAGGCGGCAGCACGAAAATGACAGCTCCAACGCTGCGCGGCGTCTTTATTCAAATGAGTTTCTATTCTATTCGTGTGTAGCGTAGCATTAAAAAATTCACTCGGTTGTTTTACTGTTTATTTGCTTTGTTTACTGGTTAAGTATCCCATCCTGTTGTTTTGTTCATTCTCATTGTTGTCAAGGAATCTGTTCTATTTTGTCAGACATTGCATCTTTAGAATGTTTGTTATTAATCGTTTAGAGCCACCTGTATGTCTGTCTTATGTTCTGATCATTAGGCCTTAAGAGTAGAATAAACAATCAAAAAGTTCTATTTTCATTTTTCTATTTTGTCTATGGTATGTACCGATTATTAAGCGTTTAGTGAAAATTTTTATTGATTCAATGGAAGTAACATGAATAACCCACCTTTCAAAGTATTATTTTGTTATAATTTACTATGAAAATGGCCCGGTTACTCGTAAATTTTGTATTTCAAGTCCCTCGCTGTCATCGTGTCATGTATGACCGGGGTCTCTCAAGAATTCTAGACAAGCAGATCTGAATAGAGGCTGACTGCCCAGGCTTCGCGCCGCATAAAGTTCTGAGAGTTTATTCTATTGGACACAGAAAAGTATTGTCTTTCTCTTGTAACTCCATTTTCTGAAAAGTTCAAATCGTGTTGACAGAGTTGTATCTTTCAGTTCTTTTACTCAAAGTCATCATAGGCTGTTAGATTGATCATTTATACCTATGGGTTAGTGCGCTAATCCACGCATATTTGAGGACAGTATGCCGAAAAAGAAAGGATCGAAGCAGTTGGGGTTAGAAGATGAGAGATTCACCCATCTTCGATCTGATCCGAAGTTCTCAGGACTCAGCAATAGGGAAAAGAAGGTTGGTTATAGTTAGATTATCGTTGCCTACACTTATTCGGAGTATTTTATTTATCCGGTAATTCATCTAGTTGAACACCTGCTCCAGTTGAACCGTTTCTATCTATGTGAAGGAACTGTGTGAATCTCCCCATCTCTTAAGTGTATGTATGATCATGCGATTGTGACCGATTCGTGCCAGGAGAGGAAGCGACTTTAGTTGCTTTTGCAGCGCGACAAAACTTTCTCCGTTACGAGAACTTCAGGTTCCCTTCTAATGGGGTGAACCTGAGGTTCTTCCAGCGAAAAAAGTCTTGCCTAGCGAAATCGTACCCTGTGACCAGTGCAGCAACCTATTTCGATTGAAACATTTTAACTCCTTCAACATGGCTGTAGTGGGACAATATCGCGAAATGATTGAAAGGAAGAATATATCGGAAGATATAAACGCTACTTCATTCCAAAGCAGTCACCTTCGAATGCGCGACGCAAGAGAGCGGTATCTTCTGAGGCTAAATAGACTCTAATCGAGAGCTTCAACTGTACCTTTAGGCTTACAATTCCTTTTCGTTGTGCCCAAAGATTTTCTATCTCGTTTCCTGCTCGATAAAAATCCGGCATAAGCTCATTGTTGAAGTTCAGGTCACCATCGGCAAGCGGTTCGCTGCTGCATTGACTGATCAAAGATTCTCCTCCAAAGCCCGAGTGGATAAGAGAGGCCGACCTCTAAGGAACAAGGGAGGTGCGGTTCATGTTGGTCAGTGTGAATTTTTCATACGTGGCGCTCGAGTGCCTTCTCTCCAGTACACTGTGACTTGTATGAGTTGAAGGAGAGTGATGAGGATAATAAAGATTGTCACGCCGAAGAAAAAAAAGTGGAGAAAGCTCTCATGACGAGGGTGAGGAACAAGTGCATGTTGGAAAGTGAAGAGGAGGATGATGATGATGACCGACCCATCAAGGTAACTGGAGACCTCCATTTTGAAGTTGTGAGATTCCTGTTCCTGTTTTGATTGATGTACATTTCAGCTAGATCTTGCTCGTGGTGAAGGCAACGTCGATTCCTCATCTGACGATGATTCGGATTCCGAATGGGAGACCAACGAGGATGTCCAGTTGGAAATTGATTTGGCTCATCTGGACCAGTCAGTGCCTGTTTTTCAGCTTTGCTTCTCATCTAACGGAAGTTCCTTCGAATTACTGGGTATTCAGGGATGCCGAACAAGTGGAGTGGTCTTCGAGTCGAATTGCTGCGTGCAATTTAGACTGGAACCTCGTCCATTGTGAAGACTTGATGGTGATAGCAAAATCATTCACGTGAGTTGCATATCTTCAGTACTTTCTCATTTGCCATAGAATTTGGCGAGCACCTAATTACCCCTGAAACTATTGTATGCTTCAGACCTCCAGGTGGCTCGATACGAAGGATCGCCATCTATTTGTCGGACTTTGGTGCAGAGCGACTTGCTGAAGAGGACAAATATGGGCCAAGGTTGCAACTCAGCAAACCTATAGAGGAGTACGATGGCGAAGAGATGGACGAGTGGGTTTTGAGTTGTTTGGTCGCAAAACCCCTTCTGGTCCGAAATCATTTCATAGGATTTATAAGTGGGATGAAATAAGATAAAGCAGCAAGGCGAAAAGCGGCGAAAACTTCTCCCTTGGAGTGCCCACTTTTCTTATTCCTTCACAATCGTAGTGGAAGCTGAATGTGGTTTGGCTTACCATAGTGGCTCCCAGCCGGTGTGAATTCGTATTCATATTCTTCCAATTAGGCCTTGTGCCACCTAATTGACCTCGGAGGAATGGAAGCCCCGGGAAACCTCATATCGATATGATTCTGGGTTTGATCACTGGGTCACGCACGTGGTAAGCGCTGCCTATCAGTCCCATCCTACGGCGAAAGGATAAATTTGGTTACAAACTATCCATGGCTTCCTCAATGGTCCGCCGCGAATGGCTGGAGCTTAGACTAGAGAACGGCGCCTGGCTTGGCTACGAATCTCCAGGAGGGAAATGAGAGCCTCGAGACTAAGCCATAAGGGGAGGGGTGAGACTCCAGAGAGAGAGAGAGAGAGAGGGAAGAGAAGAGAGAGCAGGCTGGAGCATCAAATTGAAGCGGTTGAAAGGATTGAGTTCGAGTAGTCTGTAGACGATCCATGGTAAAACGTTGAAAGATAGAAAACAACTTCGTCAAGGAAATAGAACAGCACAGTACCCAAAATAAGCAAATAGACCGAAGACATAAGTATCTAAGCATGAAGTTTTTGCCCGTCGTTAGCCACAAAAGGATGCACGCCTCGGATGAATGTAGATTCCACGATGAGGTTGAAGGTCGAACAAGGGGAAACTTACCTAGTAAAAAGACGGACGGACCCCCTAAGGGTTTGAACCGACACGCAATTTGCCGGAAAGGATATACCCCGGCAATCTAGCATTTTCCGCTATCTGCGCAGTCTCCTATCGACTGGCTAGCCACTCGCCGCAATTCTCTAGCCGTTTAGCAGAGAGAGCGTCAGCGTTGAAGAGGGCAGCAGTTCTGAGAGTCGCGTCAATGCGAAATTCGAAGGGCAA